CATGCACTGATATGCTATGCACGCATATTTCACTGTGTTCTCAAAGTACCAAAATCAATATGTTCTCAGGTTAAATGTGAAGTTAGGGGGAAGTTATTTGTCTATTATTATGCGGTAAAAAAGTAAGTTTATGTTCTCAGTTATCACTTGTTGTGTTAATGATGCTTTGATATGTCATGTTGAATATGACAATATGTTCATGATAGCACCAAAAGCATGTTTAGTGTGATGTGTGTGAAGAGTAAAGAAACAAATAGAGTTCAGTAGTCTCGTCTTTGATTTGTTTCAGTGTCTTTGGCTAGTTTTAAGACAAAACAATGATGTTTAATACTTAATTTCTCCATATCTGTTCTGATTAAGAACAGAAACATCTGAAACACTGTTATAAAGGGTGTAGCTCTGTTTGATCACTTCTGCATTGTCTTTGAAATGTCATTCTTCCCTATCACTGAAACTAGATGTCACAATCAAAAAACGGTACATAGATGAGAACACTAGTGTTTTGTTCATGAATGCTATATCTATGTTACCACTCTGATGCTGTCTTTGACAAGTTTAACTTTAAAATTAATGCAGCAATTAATAAAATCACACCTATAAAAAACAGGAAAATTACTGGCAAGCATAAAGCACCATGGAGAAACACAACAGCAGCGCCATGCATGAAAGAAAATACAAAAAAGCAGAACTTACGTGGCGGAAAACAAAGCTAGAAATCCATTATAACATCTACAAAGAATGCCTTAACACTTACAATAAGAGACTTCACACTGCTAGACAGACCTTCTTTTCAAATGTTATAAACAAGAACATCAGTAACACACGTACACTGCTCGCTGTTGTTGACAGGTTAATTAACCCTCCAAACTTGCTATCCAGTGAACTGTTTTCTACTCAGAAATGCAAAGAGTTTGCATCATTTTTCAGTGATAAAATGCACAACATTAGAATGGCGATCAATAGGTCCTCTTTTAGCTCTGAAATAAGTCAGCCACCACTACAGTAGCATAGGAGGATAGTTACTATGAATAACTTTGAGACAACTGACTGCAAAATTTTGTATGAAACACCTTAAAACGTCCTGTTGTCTGGACACTCCCACATCTTTTTTTTAAATGTGTTTAGTTTTGTCATCCTGGACTGTTATCTTAACATCAGAAGCCGCATCAAAGCGATTACTAAATCAGTCTATTGCCATCTACAAAACATAGCACGAATCAGATCTTTTGTGTCCAATAAAGAAGCTTATTCATGCATTAATTACCAGCAGGATAGATTATGGCAACTAATACAAAACTCTATTAGCAGCTAATATAAAACTCTGCTAAAAACTAGTGAATGCTGTTCACATCATAATATACATAAATACATTGGTTATCAGACAAAATACACATCTAGTACACCAAATTACATTTATTTTCATATAACATTTATCATACAGTTTAGAAATTTAAATATTATTTTTTATTAATTAAATTAATAATGATGTTTATATAAATGCACTTGGATACTGTATATATGTATATGTCATACCTCAAACTTCTCTAATAAGCTCTTCTGAAGTTTGGTCTGTGTGTGGCATGACGTTGCACGGCGTTCCCAAAGAACGCATTATGTCAAGTGAAGTGAACATGCTTAGGGAATAGTGAGTAGTGAACACTCTGTAGGGACTCAATCTGACCGCAGTTCAGTTCATGGAGCTCTCTCCTAATGAGCCGGTGATCTGAATCAGGTGTGTTACAGAGAGACATACAAAATAGTGGGTTTGCACCATTTTTCATGGGTTGCAAAAAAAAAAAAAAAATCTTTATTAGGTGACTAAATTATATTTGTCACGAGTCACCAGTTTCCTTTTGGTTCAGAAACTATTATTTTGAAGTTTATTATCTTCCTTTGTTTCCGGCTTAGCTCCTGTTTTTACTAGTTTCCATGGTTTTTGATTCTCCTGTTGTTTTAGTTCCTTGTTTGGTCTTGTATTTATAGCCCTTGGTTTGGTTCATTAGTTTGTTGGTTATTGTCTTTGTTTGAACAAAGCTGTTGTGTTTCTGTTTCCTGTTAGATTGCGGTTTTCCACTTGGATTATAGTCTTGTTCATTTACAGAAGTTTCTCAGCAGTTGCTTCATTCTTGTGAAAGATCCATCCACAAACAGTTTTGAATATGAAATAAGTTGATTAATCTTCATGCTTAAATAATACTGAAATAAAATCTTCGTGTTCATGCTAAGAATAGTTAGACTATCTTAAAGTCAGGCAATTCATTTATTTCATATTCTAACTTGTCATCATTTTGATAAAAGTTTTCATTTGTCACACTTCTGAACAGCAGCGCCATGCATGAAAGAAAATACAAAAAAGCAGAACTTACGTGGCGGAAAACAAAGCTAGAAATCCATTATAACATCTACAAAGAATGCCTTAACACTTACAATAAGAGACTTCACACTGCTAGACAGACCTTCTTTTCAAATGTTATAAACAAGAACATCAGTAACACACGTACACTGCTCGCTGTTGTTGACAGGTTAATTAACCCTCCAAACTTGCTATCCAGTGAACTGTTTTCTACTCAGAAATGCAAAGAGTTTGCATCATTTTTCAGTGATAAAATGCACAACATTAGAATGGCGATCAATAGGTCCTCTTTTAGCTCTGAAATAAGTCAGCCACCACTACAGTAGCATAGGAGGATAGTTACTATGAATAACTTTGAGACAACTGACTGCAAAATTTTGTATGAAACACCTTAAAACGTCCTGTTGTCTGGACACTCCCACATCTTTTTTTTAAATGTGTTTAGTTTTGTCATCCTGGACTGTTATCTTAACATCAGAAGCCGCATCAAAGCGATTACTAAATCAGTCTATTGCCATCTACAAAACATAGCACGAATCAGATCTTTTGTGTCCAATAAAGAAGCTTATTCATGCATTAATTACCAGCAGGATAGATTATGGCAACTAATACAAAACTCTATTAGCAGCTAATATAAAACTCTGCTAAAAACTAGTGAATGCTGTTCACATCATAATATACATAAATACATTGGTTATCAGACAAAATACACATCTAGTACACCAAATTACATTTATTTTCATATAACATTTATCATACAGTTTAGAAATTTAAATATTATTTTTTATTAATTAAATTAATAATGATGTTTATATAAATGCACTTGGATACTGTATATATGTATATGTCATACCTCAAACTTCTCTAATAAGCTCTTCTGAAGTTTGGTCTGTGTGTGGCATGACGTTGCACGGCGTTCCCAAAGAACGCATTATGTCAAGTGAAGTGAACATGCTTAGGGAATAGTGAGTAGTGAACACTCTGTAGGGACTCAATCTGACCGCAGTTCAGTTCATGGAGCTCTCTCCTAATGAGCCGGTGATCTGAATCAGGTGTGTTACAGAGAGACATACAAAATAGTGGGTTTGCACCATTTTTCATGGGTTGCAAAAAAAAAAAAAAAATCTTTATTAGGTGACTAAATTATATTTGTCACGAGTCACCAGTTTCCTTTTGGTTCAGAAACTATTATTTTGAAGTTTATTATCTTCCTTTGTTTCCGGCTTAGCTCCTGTTTTTACTAGTTTCCATGGTTTTTGATTCTCCTGTTGTTTTAGTTCCTTGTTTGGTCTTGTATTTATAGCCCTTGGTTTGGTTCATTAGTTTGTTGGTTATTGTCTTTGTTTGAACAAAGCTGTTGTGTTTCTGTTTCCTGTTAGATTGCGGTTTTCCACTTGGATTATAGTCTTGTTCATTTACAGAAGTTTCTCAGCAGTTGCTTCATTCTTGTGAAAGATCCATCCACAAACAGTTTTGAATATGAAATAAGTTGATTAATCTTCATGCTTAAATAATACTGAAATAAAATCTTCGTGTTCATGCTAAGAATAGTTAGACTATCTTAAAGTCAGGCAATTCATTTATTTCATATTCTAACTTGTCATCATTTTGATAAAAGTTTTCATTTGTCACACTTCTGACATGACTAGATCAGAAATTTGAACATGAATATGTAAGGTCAAAGAGCCCAAACAAATGGGATCACCAATCGCTATTATGGTGACTTCAAAACAATTACAGCAGTAAAAATCTAAATTTCTCTCAGTGGCACAGTTAAAGGCAACTTTATAACGTGAATTCACAGTAAAACAAGAGCAGTAAATTACTGTGAATGAAAGCAGTAAATTACATTCTGCTTTCATTCACAGTCATTTGTAAGAAAATGACCAGCATGCATCGATTTCACAGTAAATTCCTGACTACAGTAATTTATTGTAAAATAATACTCTTTTTTTACAGTGTAGCTTACGTGTGTGCATTACCCAGATGACTTCCTGTGCAGCTTCTATCACACAGGAAACAAAAGGCAGTGGGTGAGGAGGAGGATCCCAACCCCCCAGAGCTCCCAGATCCATAGGGCATGCTGTAATGTCCTTCTCAGAGCCAAGACCTGACACCTGGTCTTGCACAGCTTGATGGACACTCTGGCTCCGCCCACTTCCTTGACCGTTCCTCCTCCGCTGGTCCAGTCCGGCTCCCTGGCTCCACCTCCTCCAGTCCTCCAGCTTCACCAGCATGACCAGCACAGTGGTCTTCTGTGTTTTTACTTTCATAACTATTATTATTTATGGAGTAACTATTTAATAATACAGTATATTAAACGGCTTCATCACAATATATCATTCAGTGCGTAATGTTTATGATACATTAATGTATGATATATATATATATATATATAGCTATGTCATAGCAACTGATAATCCACAATGAAGAAGAAAACATTTAGCCTACTTATGGGATAATACACAGCCTGCCGGTACTGTCACTGTGTTAGGCTGCGTTTACCAACACATGTAAATGCCAGGAATATTAAACATATTTTAAAAAAAAGCTGGCACATTTCTGTAGCATTTAGTTTCAGTTTTTTTTAAGAACTGTCGAAACACATTACACAGACCGGGTAAACCAATGGTCCAGTAGTTATTCAAAGAGCGGCGTGCATGAAGCCAGTGGTTGTTTTACAGCGGAGCGCGTGGTCGTCGCGTCTGGTCATGTGTTCAGTTTATCGGGGCTCTGTGTTATGAAGGAGACAGCGGAGTTTCACTTCTCTCTGAGAGAACCGGTTCTTCGGGAACGCCCATTGATGCCGCAGCGGATTGAACTTTCAGTTTCGATATCAGGCTACCACACTGACTTCAAGATTTTTTGTGCCACATAGTTTCAGTGCGCACTAAGCAGTGGCATTTGAGATCGTTTACGCGCCTCTCTTTTTGACTCTGGCTCGGAAATTGGTTTCACATGTTGGTTTTGTTCGGATAAGCGATGAAGTCTGTGCTCTGCGCTTTTATGACGGCTGTGATCGCGCTGCACCGGGCCGAAAGTCTCAAGAGGACTTATTATATTGCCATAAGAGAGGAAAACTGGAATTACGCACCCAGCGGCCGAAATCTTATCCATAACCGGAGCATCGAGCGAGATGAGTAAGTTCCTTTACAAACAGGAAAAATGAAGCATGTCTATTTAGGCTACCAGTAACAGTAAAAGTACCTAACAGGCGACATTTTCATTGTAATAGGCTAGACAACTAATAATCAACACGTAGTATTTTATTGTGTGTGTGTGTACAGGTTTATATATTCTGGTGGGGACTTAAACCTGAATACACACAGACTCATGGGGACTCGTGTCACGGTGGGGACCTAAATTGTGGTTCCCACGGGTAAACAAGCTAATAAATCATACAGAATTAAGTTTTTTGAAAATCTAAAAATGCAGAAAGTTTCCTGTGAGGGGTAGGTTTAGGGGTAGGGTTGGTGTAGGGCAATAGAAAATACGGTCTGTACAGTAGAAAAACCATTACGCCTATGGAGAGCCCCCACAAGGATAGCAAACGAGACGTGTGTGTGTGTGTGTGTGTGTGTGTGGATAAAGCTTCTTGTAAGTGCATGGTGCTGTAGGCTGTTAACACTATTATTATTGACATGGACTCTGAACTGTACACCGTAATAATAACAGTAAATCTGACTGTATGATGGACATTACCATTATTATACCATTATTAATGAATTACCATTATTTACTCATTTATTTCTCTGTCTAAATTCCCCTTTAACAGACCAGCGTCGACTTTTCTGTTGAATGGCCCTACCCGGATAGGGAGTGTTTATAAAAAGGCTTTATACAGGCAGTACACAGATGAGTCTTACTCCACCGAGATACCTAAACCTGCCTGGCTCGGCTTCCTCGGACCCATTTTACGGGTTGAGGTCGGAGATGTCATAGAGGTGCATATGAAGAACTTTGCCAGCAGGCCTTATTCTCTCCACCCTCATGGAGTTTTCTATGAGAAGAATTCAGAAGGTTGGCTATACATTATCTCTCTATCAGTTCCTTTACTTTTTTTCCTTCTCCATCCCTGTCCTTCTGTTAATTTTGCTGTCTTTTTATGTTTATCTTTGGATTACAACAGCAATTCAGCATTTCTTGACACACATCCCGTAAATCAATAACAGCAATAAACGAATAGCTTGCAGCAAAGTATCAAAAAACAACTTTTTTCAGAGCAGTTCAAAGGGCAATCCACCAATTAGACGAGACAACATGAACCTTCAGAAAATAGCTACTTGAAGCAACCACTTTCGTAGCTCAAATTATTAATCTGTAATTATAAAATGTGCATATATATCAATTAAAAACAAAAAAGTTGTATGTTTGCATGTCTGTCTCTCATGAACGTCACATGCATATGTACACTGAAAAAAAACAAAAGTAAAATTTACTTAATTTTCCTTTTGCAAGTTTTTTGCACACATATTTTTTAAAGTAAAATTTAAGTATGGAATTAAGTAGAATCTACTTAACTAAGTTATGTAAAATTAGCAAAGGATATACGTAAATTCAACGTGGCCTGTGAAGAGTTGATGAGTAATTTCTACTTAATTCTTTGAGGTTTACTCTGCGATACTCAAGTACATTTCACTCAGTCACAGTTTGTAAACTTTACTCAAACAATGTGGCATTGAAAAAAAAAAACATTGCTATTAAAGTATGTGGTTCACTTACTAACTTAAGCAGGTAGATGGCTTGTTGTCCTTTTTAAGATAATATGTTCACTCAGTATAGTTATTAAAGGGGTCATATGGTGCTGCTAAAAATAACATTATTTTGTGCATTTGGATCTGGAGGGATTGCGGCAACCACATGTGACGACCCCGGGCTGGACTCCGCTTCGTCCACGGTGAAAGCCGATCCGGCGATCCACAGCGCGAAGTTGTTGTATTTCCTCAGCGACCAGCACGGATCAGCTCCAGGCATGACGAAGCAGATATCGTCCTCTTTTGGAAGACCAAACAAAGTAGTTTCGCTTTCACAACGAAGCACACAGCGCCTTCACGACATGGCGGCAGCAACAATACTACAGCCAGAATAAAAGTTACACCTTCTTTCTTTGCGTGCACATTTGGGCGGCGTTATGCAAATCTTCCCACATCGTGACGTAGATATGTGGGGGCGTGTTAGAACGAGCCATTTTAGGTAGGTGTGGCTGACTTTTAACTTTTATAAAGAATATCTCTTTAGATTTGAGACTTTAGTCTTTGCAACTTTACAGATCTTCTTTATGCAGCAAGAGCTTGTAACACTCCAAAGAGAAAGAAAAAATTTAAATCACATCATATGACCCCTTTAATCGATTGAACACAGAGACCTCAAGACTTGGTACACAATACACAATGACGGTAACAATCAGTGGATAGTGTTTGAGTATGAATGGGTCTTTTTGAGTAGAAAATGAACTCCAGATGTCACAAAACAGCAAGTTACTAAACCTAACAACAAAAGCAACCACAAAACAGTGTAAATAGAACAAGAACAGTGAAAAATGTAACCTTATTAATTATTCGTGCACCAGTGCATGATAGAAACAACAGGATATTTACTTAAAGAATCCTTGTAAACATAACAAACAATTCCAAGTAAAATATACTTATAAATTTCAACTTTAATTTCTACACACTTAAATTGAATACTAATATAGAATGTAGTCTCTTTATTTAATTATCGCCTGAACTAAATTATTAAATGTTGAAATTACATTTGTTTTTCCGTAGTATTTACTTCACCACAAAATCATTTTTATCAGTGTACAGTATGATTGGATACACACACAAAAAAATATTTTGGTCTAAATTTGAATTGTATCTATTTCAATTGCATGTAAATTTTCCATCCATTTGGATTACATAGTTTTATCAGAAATTAATAAACTTAATGTGATTCATATTCAGTCATACGTAAATTAAACAGGTTACATTTATGCAATAGTTCACAGCAAAGTCACCAGTGTTAAATAAACACTGCTCAGTGTTCATGTGTATCACCATGTACAATTGAAGCAGTGTTTGGGTTGAGATAATTATGTGACGAGTGAGGATTAGTGATGAACAGCTGAATCACTGAAGGAAAGAAAAACAACAAGAACAGAAAAAAGAGAATCAGAATCAGAAAAAGCTTTTTTTGCCAAGTGTGATGATAAGTGACAAGACACAAGAACTACATTTGACTCAGCCACAGCCTTAGATGAAATCAACTGAAAAAAAAGAAGACATAGACTCTCTCAAGATCTCAGCAGAGGACAATTAAACAACTCCACAAACAGCATTACCAGCTTCACGCATTACTAAACAGGGGTGTGTTTCCCAAAAGCAACTGTGGTCGCAAGTTCCATCGTTACCAATAGCGTTCAATAGAACTTGTGACCATAGTTAGCAAACAATGCTTTTGGGAAACGCACCCCAGATTTACTTTATTTCTGTCAGATGTCTACAGAAGTTCTTATTGAGAATTACATAGGTTTAGATGTTGATGATTTATTGAAAATATTTCGTTTGAAATCACCACCAAGGAGATCAGTGTTTGCTTTTTCTTGGGCTCTTGACTCTTGACTTTTTGACATTAGCTTTTATGTGGCTGTTATAACTGAATGTTTGTAAGACACGTTTAATATAATGAAGAAATCCAAGATAAAAAAAAAAATAATAATAAAATGCTGATGCTTATGTTTGATAACATGATCATAATCGTCTACTTGCCTGATATAGAGTTTAATCTCTGATTATATGGGTGAAGCATTATTTTTGTGACATTTATTACAGTAGGGTTGTAACTCTACAGCTTGAGATCCAGCAGTATTGTTCAGTATGAAGAGTTTACGAAGCACTTTGTGCACAAAAAGATTTAATCTACGTAATTTTACAGACACACACAGACATCAAGAATCAACAATGGTTGACAATCAACAAAACGCTTCATGTCGCAATGCATGCTGGGCACCTGTATAGTACAAGCAACCAATCAGCTGTGAGCAAAGTGACATATATCTGATGCAATAAAGCCACTCCCCCATGTCTCTCGCTTAAAATTAAAGCAGTTTACGGTGAATGAATTTTAGAGACAAAATTTAGAAACAAAATAATTTTAGAGACAAAGTTGCTGCTGTGTTCACATTGTATGTCGGATCGGCGACAGGAAGTTACACAATGCTTGACTTATCAATAGGAAGAATCGCCGACAGCTGGATGGTCCACAAACTACGTTTCACAACCAAACGCATGCGAGAAGTGATAGGGAAATAACACAAGATCAAGATACTTTTAATAACATTTTAATAACATTCCCAGTCTCGCATGAGAACTCTGAGAGACTGGAAATGTTATTAAAATGTTATTAAAAGTATCCTCCATTTCTTGGGTCCAAATAGACCGAGACTTTCTCGGAACCGAAGCCATGCATGATATTGTGGTCTTTAACTCCTCCCTGAACTTCCCTCTGCCCTGTATCGTGCTCTCTCATTGGCTGTAGGTCATCGCCGATGTATTCTCATTTCACACAGCAGGATTTTGAATCGCCGACAGGTCCAGATATTTAGCATGCCAAATATTTCACGGGCGTTAGCGATTCTCTCAGATCACGTCTTTGATAATTTACACTGCGTGATTGTCACTCGTGTGAACGAGCACCGATTTGCCGCCAATTTCGGGCATTTGTCTGCGATTTGGCAAAACCTGTCGGCGAGTGAAAATCGGGGCTAAAATCGTGCAGTGTGAACTCAGCATAAACCTACTCTGAAACTCAAATTCATTCTTCTAATTTGAATGTCGGATTAAAATGAACGCTGTTATTAGAGTAGTTAATCGTTAGCATAGGCGCGGCTAACGCTAATATAATGAGCATTAGAATTAAGTTTCTTTATTAACTATTTAATGCTCCTATAACTTTTATTAGGTTAAAAAAAAAAACTGGAGGACATGATGATATTTACTATTTTTACACACCAGAGGCTTTTCAATGAATTGTGAATCTAAAATATGCGTGTTAGAGAATGTACAAATGGTTAACATTGTTTGTGTCATATCAGTCAGAAAAGCAGTTCTGGGCTTTTTTTTTTTTTTTAGCTAACTTAATAAGTAAGAACTTATTTGTTATTCTTGGCTGAATAACTCTAGGTTTTCAAAAGCCCTTTAAAATTAAATATGTACACAGTTTGGATTAAATTATAGTCAAATTTTTTAATTAGCATGTTTTTGTGTTGGTTTGTGTTTTGCTTTGGTACCGAAATTGGTATCGAGAACCGTTGATTTTCACTGGTATTGGTACCGAATACTGAAATTTTGGTACCGTGACAACACTAGTGCAAAGACATGAACACTTAGCAGTGCTTATTTAACACTGCTGTGAATTATTACATACATTTTTATCTGTTTCATTTACGTATGACTGATGCATATGAATCACATTAATTATTAATTTGTGCTAAAACGATGTAATCTTAATGATGGAAAATTTGTATGCAATTGAAATACATCAAATTTAAATTTAGACAAATCTTTCTTTGTTTTTATCAGCGTAACAATTTAACAAGTAACTTTCACTGTCCTTTGTATTAGATTTTTTGAGTTTTCAGATTTTTTTTATGAGGTGAAGTTTAACTTTACAGTGTCTACTTCCTGCTTTACGGTGTCTACTTCCATCGCAGGCCAAGTTACTGAATAGGCATTATTGTGTAAACATGTGTTAGTCATGCTTGTGATACCAGTTCCACAACTATTTCCAAATCAGTGTAGCCTCCATAAAATCTGTTTGGACTTGAAAGAAAGGTTGTATAATAAATTTTATACTAAACGAGCAAGGAAAATCCAGTTTTGATACATCGTGTTACTGTGTTTAAAGTCCTAGATTTGTTGCAATTTGTCAAATTGTGATATGACTCCTCTTTTGCTTTTACTTGAATTCATTACTCTGTATTTTAGGAGCGTTGTATCCAGACGGCACCACTGGTCGTGATAAGAGAGATGATGCAGTGGCTCCAGGTGAGAGCTACACATACACCTGGCAGGTCAAACCAGAGTACGCTCCTACTGAAGCAGATGCCCGCTGTCTCACCTGGATTTACCATTCACATGGAGATGCACCAAAAGACATTGCATCAGGGCTTATAGGAGCTCTGCTCACCTGCAAGAAAAGTAAGGTCCACACACAAGCCCTAATAAACTGTTCACGTGTGGAATCTATTTCCAATAGTTTACTATAGATTGTACAGTATCTCACAGTACCAACTACTTCTTAGCGTCAAGCACTAATTCCTCCTAATTTTGAATATTTTTTACCCTTTCTTTCTCTTTTTTAGGCACTCTGGACTCTAGTCAAAAGCGCTCTGATGTGGATGAAGATTTCATTTTGATGTTCAGTGTGGTGGATGAGAACTTGAGCTGGTACTTGGAGGAGAATATTGAAATGTTCTGCTCTGATAAAGATGCAACAAACGAACTCAAGAATAACACAGATGAGGAGTTTAGAGAGTCCAACCTCATGCATTGTAAGTCTCAGGATGTCTCAATCTTTCGCTTAGAAAAATTGGGTTGTTGCTTCTTGTGTTCTGATGAGGAATGTTCTGTTTTATCATAGAAACTAAAAAAGTTTTATTTAAATCAGCTTAACCTTTTTTATTAATGCACTGTAAAAAAAAAAAAATCTAAATTTTTCCTAATCCTAATTTTACAGAAAATAACTGTGATTTTCATCAGGTTGTTTTCTTTTGTTTTTAATTGTAGTCAAAATTATCTCTAAATTAACTTCTCGGCTGTTATATTAAGTATTATGACATTAATGACAAATTACAGTAATTCACAATTTTTTATGCAGAAAATGCATACTGTTTTTGGTAACACTTTATTTCGATAGTCCACTTTAGACATTCTATTAACAGTAAGTAACTTTGCAACTACATGTCAACTAGCAGTTAGTAGAGTATTAATAGACTGTCTGCTTAATATCTTCTAACACTTTCTTTGTCAACTTATTCTACTAACCCTAAACCTACCCTAACAGTCTACTCTGAGAGTTAGTAGACATGTAGTTGCAAATTAATGAGAATTAGTTGACATGTAGTTGCAAAGTTACTTACTGTTAATAGAATGTCTAAAGTGGACTATCGAAATAAAGTGTAACCCTGTTTTTTTATATAGTATTTTCTTAAATTATATACAGATGTATGTAAAATTACAAAAATAATCTGTAATTAATACAACAACAAAATGTTACATGATAAAAATGACTGGTAGCAACAGCTGCCACACAAAAACCCATACAATTAAAGTAAAATCTCCTTATTTAAATAAGCTGAAAACACTGTTATTTTACAGGTATTTCTTGAATTATTATGATTAAAAACCTTCACTGTAATATAAAATTAAATAAATAAATAAATACAATGTCACATGACTGTCAGCAGCAGAACATGAAACGTGAAACATGAACAGATCTCCGCATCTTCACTCGTTACAAACTAGTCTGACTTTATTTCTTTCACTCAAAACCTCTTATTGAGAATTAACTGAGGTTTAGATGTTGATGTTTTATTGAAAATAATGAAGTTTGAAGGCATTTGCTTTAGTTGGGATCTTGACCCTTGACTTTTTAACGTCACTTTTTCTCTTGCTGCTGTAACTGTTTTAAAAGCGCATTTGTTATAGCAAAAGTTGTGAGAGACAATCTGATCAGATAAAGTTGGTTACTTATTGATGATTCAATCATCGTGTCGTGGCCTGATTCACTGATCTCATCCAGTGTCTCATCTCTGAGTATATTAGCTGTTAGTTTTGCATTATTTACAGCAGTCTCGTGATGTTATTACAGTCAGATATTCTTTTTTATTATTATACAGAAAGTGTTTTGATCTGTGTGTTTTGGACTCTCACAAACATCAAAAATCAGCGCATGAATCTCAACAAAGGAGACAATCAATGAAAAGCTTTTTTGTGGTTTGTTTTATGATATTCAGAGTTGATCTGTTTATCTGAATATTTTGTAATCTAAAATATTCTGTTGATTGTTACCATTGTTGAGGTTCATATGCAGATTATTGATGTCTGTGAATCTATATGATATTTCTACATAATGACTTAAAAATATCAAAGCCGGACAAAATTTTATGCAGGAGTATTCTAAGAACTAATGTGAATTTTAATACATCTAAAAAAGCCGGACAAAATTTTATGCAGTAGTATTCTAAGAACTAATGTGAATTTTAATACATCTAAATACTGTAATCTGAGATTAAACTCTGGATGAAACCAGTGAATCAGGCCACTACACGATGATACATGACTTCATCTGATCAGGTTTTTTCTCACAGCATTTGCTATAATAAATGCGCTTTAAAAACACACATTTACAGCAACCAGAGAAATGCTAGCATTAAAAAGTCAAGGGACGAGAGCCCAACTAAAGTAAACACTGATCTCAACAAGGGTGACTTCAAACTTTATTATTTTCAATAAAACATCAACATCTAAACCTCAGTTAATTCTCAATAATAGGTTTTGAGTGAAAGAAATAAAGTCAGACTGGTTTGTAATGAGTGAAGATGCTGAGATCTAGAGATCTGTTCATGTTTCATGTTCTGTTGGGATTTAAAGGGTTTCTGTTGTCTGTGTTTTGTGGGTCACCGTTGTGCTGAAGAGCAGAGTCTGTGCTTCAGTGCAGGAGAAGACCCACGAACACTGGTATAATGCTGTATGTTGCTTTATTTAAAGCCAGTAACTGTGTAGCTGCTGATGCAGTGATGGTTTCATTAGCTCATGCATGTGTGCTGTTAACAAATGGTTTCACAATGATAATCCAGGAGATATCTATAACGTAATAGTGTTTTTCGCAAAACATTTAAGAAGAATTAGGACACAAGTTATGATATTTTACCTTAGTTTTGCATTTTTTTTGGCTGCCAGTTATTGACCTTTTTTTAAACATTCTTTAACCATTATTTTCATTAATGGTAAACATTTGGCACCCTTTGCTGCCATGCATTTCACCACTTTTTTACATTTATTTTTTTACAGTGTGTGTTTTACTCACATATACTATACATTTCTATTCAAAGCAGCTAACATTACACTGTACCAGTCAAACAGTTTAAAAAGTGATTAATATCATTTTTTAATCTTTAGTATTGAAATTGTTAAATTTTACTGGGTTTGGTACTGACTACTGAAATTTTGGTGTCATGATGGCTCACCATACTACTGGGAATCAAAACCATAGCTTTGGCAAATGCCATGCTCTATTGTTAGAGATACAGTAACGTCTGTAACCAAGGGCAATGTAATTTTTAGCAGATGACACATGACTGATTTTTTTGCATACTTTCATGGAAAGTACCTTGTTGTATCTGTTCCACTTTGGAACAAAGCCATTCAGAAAAGTTTAGTTTTCCTTTTGATATCCAAAGTTCTCTGCACTCTACAGCTGTTTGTGATCTTAATATCTAAGCCTGACATTTTATTGTTTAAATAAATAATAGACAAAATTATAATTTTCCTTTTTCCTGTATTAATATGTTTAATTATAAAAGTTGTGTCATTTCATGTCCTTTATTTCTCAATGTCACTCGTTCAGTTTGTTCTCATCTTTTCCCATTAGCAATCAATGGCTATGTTTATGGGAATTTGCCTGCACTGAAAGTGTGTGTCGGACGTCCCGTGTCTTGGCATCTCTTCGGCATTGGTAACGAGGTGGACATTCATTCGGCTTATTTCCATGGGCACACCCTCGTGGATCGCATGCACCGCACAGATGTGCTTAGTCTGTTTCCTGCCACTTTTGTCACCGCAACAATGATCCCGAGAACAGAAGGAAAATGGTTGTTAAGCTGCCAAGTCAATGATCATGTACAAGGTAACTGTTCTGTTGTCTTTCTGTCGTCTTGTGTGAAGACTAATATTTGCTTCTAGTTTTTTGGATGCATTGTTTTTGTCTCTAAGCACTGTTCGATCACTTTCAGTTTTGATTTTTTTGTAGTGTTTTTTCGTTTTTTTTACTGGCACGTTTTATCTTTCCTGTTTATTCCATGAGGTTGACACATTGTTTTAGATATTTGAAGATAAATAGTTATCATTGTCTGATGACTGAACAAGTTATCACTGCTTATAATCTCTTTTAGTTTCGTTTAACTCTTGAGCTTACCTAAGGGAAGCAAGTAAACTCATGATTTCAAGATATCTTCTCTCTCTCTGTTCTCGTGAGCAGCAGGTATGCAGGTTTTCTATGAGGTCTCGGCCTGTGGGTCCACAGCCTCTGCAACAGAGGCCCCTGGCAAAGAGAGACGTTTCTACATTGCTGCTGAGGAGATGGTTTGGGACTACGCCTCTTCAGGGATGAACTACATGACAAATAAACCACTCACTGAACCAGACAGGTAAAACTCAGATTTGGAGATGCTTTAATGCATGATTGAGTAACTCAAAACACACTAGAAGGGCTGATCTGAAATTGCTGAGGGATTCTGAAGGCACTTAGGAGTGGTGCTCAGACTTAAGCTTTGCTTGTAACTGTTATTGAATAAATTCTGATTGGATAAACTTTTTCCACTATTCGTTAGTACACATACAATGCTTGAAAACAGAAAGAAGCAGTAGAAAACAACTGTAAATATATAAAAAGAGTTTATTTATTTAGAATTTATGTAATTAATGTAATTATTACATATAATTGCTGCTTGCGGGTCTGGTATTATCTCTTGTTTATACGTAATTTTACTTTTATTTTTTATTTAGAATATGCATGTTAATGTTGTCATTGTATTAGAGTTTTTACGTTAATGTCTTTCTTTTCCTGCAGTGACTCTGAACCGTACTTCAGTCGTGATGGTGGTAAGCTGGGTGGAAAATATCTGAAGGCCAGATACATTTCATACACTGATGACACATTTACTACCAAAACACATTTTGCGGGCTCAGATGTGCATCTTGGAATTCTGGGTAAAATCCTCACTTGTGTCTTACATGTTTTAGAACACTGATATGTGTTTGATAATATTTTAAAGTTGACATGAATTGAAATTGGCAACTGACCTGAATGGCTTAACTGCAACATTTAAAAGATTTAAGAGGTCAAAAAAAAAGAATGCATATATGAATGGTTAACAATAAGACCAGTAACATGCAATAAAGAAAAAATATGGTTAATTTTGACTTCCTGCCAACTTTAAAGTTTTTAAATAAGAAGTATGGGAATATGTCCTAGAGGTAATATCATGCTGTGACGTATGAGTGCTTTTCACTTTTATTCATATAGTTTAAATGATTCTCTACACCCCTTCCCCACTCCCACTGTAGGTCCGGTCATTAAAGCAGAGACTGGTGATGTTATCATTGTGACATTCTTTAACAATGCCACACAAGACTACAGCCTTCAGCCACACGGTCTGCATTATGAGAAGGCCTATGAAGGAGCAAAGTATCAGGATGGTAAGTCATTTACAGCTACAGCTATACACACAGATATACACATAGATCTTCATTTTAGGGGTTCTAAATGAGGCGAAAGCAAAGTAGGGGGCATTCACACAAAGCTTAAGAACCTCTGCTGTGACATTTCATTTGGAAACTGAACAGCAATGAACACAAAGAATAATATTTGACAGCTTCATACACACATTGCGCAACATTTGGCTACAATATTGAAAACACAAAGCACAAGTCTAAGTTTTAAGTCATAAGTCAAATATTTTAGAATATTTTTTCTCCACAGGTACTCAGAAAGCTGGAGCCTCTGTGGCTCCTGGTAAAAAATTCACCTACCGTTGGAAAGTAATTGAAGGTCCCTCCAGCAGTGATCCTCCTTGTCTTTCCTACTTGTACTATTCTGCTGTTGATCCTGTTCGGGACACTAACTCTGGTTTATTTGGACCCATACAAGTGTGCAAGAAAGGTGTTCTTGATGGAAGTGGCCATCAGGTAACAAACTTACAAAGACCTACACAGACAATTTGGTACAAAATAGGGCAAAAATTAAAGTGAAAAGTTTTTTTTTTTACCAACCTCAAGATATCAAGATTATTTTATATGAGCTGTTTTATATAATTGGAAAACAGGTTTGCAAATCTGTCGTAAATCAAGCAGGGGCTATAGCAAGTTTAGGATTAAATGTCAGTTTGTAGATATTATTAAACTTATATTTCTATAATTTAAAGAAAAAAAACTTTTATCATTTTTTTTTTCTTCAGGGTTGATTGTTTGAAGAATGCAGTCAACACTGCAGTTTGTAGACAAGTCAAATTTATTTGTCTTTTCAGCATCAGTTTAAACAGAAAATCATATATGGATGTGCACATATTGCATTTAATAGTTAACTATAAAAAATGATTTACTACAGATTGAATTGTTTTTACTATAGATTGTGCAAAAATGATGGTACTGCGGAATGATTTTAATATTATGTTACATGGGGCATTCCAAAAACCCCATTTTAATGGCTATGATACAGATTTTGAATGTGTTTGAAACTAGTTACTTTTTATATTAAAATAATTATGTTAAATAACAGTTTTATCTAATAGGTTTCACACACACACAAAAAAAAGATTTGTGCCGCTAATGCTTTAAAAAAAAATCATGGGACACCAAAGTGTACCTTATTCGTGAAATGTGCCACATATGTAATGCACCTGTTGCTTTTCAGACTATGGATGACTATAATGGCTTATGTGTTTTGTGTGTGTGTGTGTGATGTTTTTCCATGTTGCGGGTGTGTCTCTTAAGCATGCTGACAAAATTCAGCATGAGTTTTTTCTGCTGTTCTCTGTGATGGACGAGAATGAAAGCTGGTATCTGGAAGAGAACATTGAAAAGTTTGGAAGCAGTGATTCAGGTCCAGCTAATGAAGAGTTTCAGGAAAGCAATAAGATGCACGGTATGCCTATATGTGTTTGTGTGTGTTTAATCACACGTTCATGTGTATTTACATCCCCACTTTGTGAATACACAAATTTATGGTTTGACCATATTCTAATTAAGTATGTGTGTGTTCCTTCTCAGCGGTGAATGGCTTAATGTATGGAAACCTGGAAGGTCTGGACTTGTGTAACGGGGAACACGTTATGTGGCACATACTTGGCTTGGGCACTGAGGTGGATATCCATGGGGTCTATTTCGAGGGTAACACGTTTCGACGAGACGGGATGAACCGTGACACTCTCAGTGTCTTCCCGCATACCACAGTGACTGTTAGCATGGCACCTGACAATGATGGTAAGCCACAGCGCTTTTACATCAGGGATATGTGGGTGTGTAAATGCCTGTGTACACTCATATGACTTGCTTTGAAACGTAACTTGTAATGCTTTTACTAATAATGATTTTAGTGTTGTGCCAGATCCTAACCCAACTAACAAAGTTTGTTTCCAAGAATGTTCTGGAAAAGTTATTCGGAGGAATACTGGAGGAAATAAATAGAAAATGAATACAAATATATGCATATATACTTGGTAAATGGATGCTAATGATATCACGGACCTGCAACACTGTTTCCAATGAGTAAATCATGAAAATTCCAAAAATTCAAGTATTCGGCGATCTCATTTGATGGTTTCAAATGAGATTTAAAGAGTTTACTGAATAATAATTGAGCAAAAGAAAACCCTCTGGCCAAATAGAAGGAACGAACAAATAGAGCGAACACAACATGATTGATGATTCCAAGCACAAGTCTATGTTTCTGTATGGTATTCAAAATTGGAAGCAGCTCTTTTGCTTAGAGACTGGCATGGGCGACAACAGACTTGGGTGAGATGATTGAGGCAGGGGTTGTAGTCGGGGGAGAGCTGCAGTATAGTGATCATTAGAGACTGGCTTATAAATGAGTGATCCTGCTAGTCATTTAGGTCTGCTTTGCAATCCTAGCTGGTCCTGGCATGATGCGTTATGGCCTTAGGGTCTGCATCGAGGAATTGTCTGGTTGTAGAGGTCTGTGTAGGTGTTCGCTGAACATAAAGGGCTGTTTTTTGGTATTTGGGCACAAGTCCAACATCTGGCCTGTATACAGAATAACTGTGGTGACCTTGGGATAAGAGTGACACAGACAAAGCAATAACTGCCAGCTTCAAAGTTTGTGGTACATGTTCTAATGATAATAATGAATTAACAATATTAAGAAGCGTTCTTGACCCCAGCTTGGTTCCAGACTGTGATACAAAATGACAATTGTAGCACCATTTTACAATTTCAACAGTTTAAAGTGAGTAGCACATCAAAACAATGGACATTCTGAGCACATTCTGATATTGTTAAACTGTTTTGTTGGATATTGTGGGATTTTGCATTCAAAATGTTGAGCAAGTCTTCATGACAGAAAAGGTCCAGCTAGCTCTAGCAGATTTGCGCCAGCGCTAACCAAAGAGGAACTTAACAAAATGTAATGGTGCAACAATTGTGCGAGAGAAGAGGCACAACTCACTGTTGATGTGACATTGGATATCAGAACACACAAGGACTAACTAACTAGTCTTTCAAATGCAAAAGGATGTCCTGTTTTGGTTTTAACATGGCCTTTTTATATGGTTTGTGGATTGAGTCATGTTCAAGTTTCAGTTAAAGAGTGACTCACACATACTATGGGCACTTCAGCTGGAGATCGTGACAGGGAGAAGGTGGGGTAGGAGGGTTTGTACAGTTTTTAAGTTGCCAGCCACTGCCAGCATTTTTGATTATTTTCACAAAACTTTGATGGCCCCCAGAATATTTTGTTGTTGGAATTTCTGAACATGCGATATGTCAAAACAGAAAGAACAGAGCCTCCGCCTTTAAGCAACAAACCCGTTTTATTCTAGCTTCATGAATTCCTTTTTTATCAACACTGGAATGTGGCTACGTTTCATTTAAAAAAGCAACATTGTGAACAAAAAGCTGAGAAAATTGCGTTTTTATCAATAATTATATCATATAAATGATCAAAACATAGATGGAGTAGATCACTTCCATCAACACCCCCAAAGCTTTTGATTTATATGCTTTTTAATATCTGATTATTCTATTATTTTGCATATGCATCTGCTTACATATGTGATCGCTTGTTTCTGCCTCTTCGCCGTGTTTTGATCCAGACATTCTGTACTCTTTCAGAAGATGTGTAATTGCGCCCCCTACCATATAACAGTGAAAACACAGAAAGCCAGAAAATTCAGTCAGCGATGGAGAAAGAGTTAAAGAAAAGCTGTCCAACATTTTTTTAACACATTTCAGCCATCTATCCTGACAAACCTTCATTCCATCTCAGTCCAGGATAAGTCATAGTGTCGTGCATATTTACTAGGCTGCTTGCAACGCTGAAAATAAAATCTGAAACACAAGATAAAATGAAAATCAGTTTTGTTCTCATGAAAGAATCGTGGCACCGACAGTGTGTTATGCTGACTTTAGATAACCTCACCTCATGTCGAGGACAGCAATAGAGTGCTACAGGGATGACGTCAAAACCCAGATCCTTCATGATATTCCTATGGGGTTTTAGAATGTTTTTTTAAATTTATGAGTAAAATAAGGTTTGCGTACCCATTTATGAATCAAGCTAACACTTGGTTGTGTAGTATATGCCACCTTGGGTTAAATCACAACAGTATGTGTGAGTCACTCGAAACTCGAACATGACTCTGCAAACCATATAATAGGTCAAGTTACAACCAGTAAAACAGTTGATCTGCTATTTGTAAACATTAGACCTAAAATGATATGATAATATTAATCCAAGTACCATTCAGAATGTATACCATTCTAGACATTCACTGCAATACTTTATCTCTGGTCATCCATTGTTGTGCCCATTTGTCATCTACTCATCACTGCACTGTACTGCTGAACCTGTACTGTGTAACAATAACTGCTGTTCATCACCTGCTCTACCACTACTCCGCCCTGTTGACTGCTGTTACCCACTCAGACAGGGATTATTACAAAACAAACTCCCTTAATGGGTTTGTTGAGGGTGCTTTGGGAGTCTGTACTAAACATGGTGCTTGAGGAAAATATTTGGTACTCAATCCTTGACTGAATACACACATCACACTTTATGCCAGACACACTCATTCAGTTCAGGGTGGTGCACAGGACTCACTTGTCCAGAGCTAAACTAAACAAAATATTTCCTGACCTCGATTCAACCTGCCTTCGCTGAAGCATCTACATTACTAGACTCTTTCTAGTCCTGTTCCAACTTGTGTCGTTTCTGGGGGAGAGTTTTTAGGTGTCTTTTTTCTTTTTCTCAACAGACCCTATAACCCCCTAACAGCATTGTTTGGTATTCTTTCTAAACTGACCACTTTGACAGTACAGCCTTTGAAACTTCACTGGCTAGACGACTTAATAACAGGAAGTCAGCAGTGCTTCCTGTTTATTACCACTGGGTTTTAGATTTATTTGCATGCTCTTAAATGAAGTGACAGTGAGACAGAAAACTGAACACTTCTTGAAAATTTGGAAACTGTTCTTGGAATACTTTCATGAGACAAAATGTTATCCTCACTATCTTTTTCTATTTTTTTCTGCCCATTTTTATCTCAAATTTCCAGTTTATTTGTGATGCCACATATGACATATGACAATACTGAAGTTATATTTAGCAATTTACACAGCAAAAAGTGGTTTCACAAACACAAAATGCTCAGCAGCAACACAGACAGGAACAGAATTTTTTTGAGCTGTCACAATAGAAAAATATTACCACCTATGTAACATCCAGACAAACTATATCAAACATACTGTGTTATCTACATTGAAGTAGTTTAATCATGACTTAATCATGAATTATTTGATCAGCTACATCATAATCCAAAAGATTATGGGAACAGCTAGGGTTCAAGGGGGTGTAGGATTTGGCATGACAATGGTGTAACAAAGTTAGGGAAGATTAGATGCTTTTATGTACAGTTGCTAGGTATAAAATGTATAATGTATGAAAAGCGTGTTATCCCTTACCAAAAAGAAGTATACTTCGTTTATTTTAAGTATACTTTATGTAGTAAGTATACAAATATCAGTGTACTAGTAGTATACTTGTAAGTGTACTATTTCAATACTCCTTGGGACTAAATTGGCCCACTTTCTAGTATATAAAAGTATACTTTTAAGTATATGTCCCAATTTAGGTATTAATTTGTATTAGGGTTGCAAAAAAGTGGAAAATTTCCAGTAAATTTTGGAAACATTCCAGGATTTTTTGGAATATTCCAGGGATGTTTGGAAAGTTTCCGG